TAGTGTTCTTTAAAAAAAAAAAACACAAAACAAACAAACAAACAAAAAAAAAAACAAAAAAACTTTTAAAAAGTGCTTTTTTTCCTAGGTTTTTGTTTGTTTGTTTGTTTGTTTTCAGATAGGAAAAACATTATGGTACTGAATTAAAACTAATGTGCCTATCTAGCATGATTCCTACTCTTGTATGTATATTTTTCTGCATTGTATTTTGCAATGTATTTTTTTTCCCTTTAAAAGTGGTATTTTGGTCTTTACTCGAGATAACTCTTATGTTAATACATTACTTGCATTAAGATGGCTTCTGTGCATGTGCACCCAGATGCAAGGAGAAAGAAGTTTTGAAAAGCTAAGAAATCAGAGTCTTGTGTATCTGCCTAGATAGATACAGCAGTCCCGTGGGTATCAATAGGAAGGAACAAGAGCGGGCAGATGTTTCAAGCACAGGAGGAATCTTTGCCTCAGCACTTACTGCCCATATGCCATTAACACGGACTGACACAAGGTAGTAGGCTGATTAGTAAGCAAGATACCAGAAGATATTTTGTGGGCAAATCTCTTAGTAATGAAAGTGGCTGCACGCCTGTGACTGAGCAGCCCATCAGAACTGCAAGACCACTTCTGTTTGTAATGAGCAGTGATGGGAAATGAGAGAGTAGCTCAGATTGCAATGCATCAAGCATAACTGTGCCTGAGAGGACAATAACAAGAGTCCTTTGAACTCTTTCCTCACCTCCCATCTGGTATGCAGAACTGAGGCAATAAAGTAAATGCAGTGAAAAGTGCTACAGATTTTTACGTAGCACTGCACATATGTTCCTGATGTTGGTATCACCCAGTGCCCACTGCAGTCCAACTGGTGGATTCAGCAGTATGTATAGGATGGCAAAATGCTGCCCATCTCTGAGTCAGCACTGCTCCAGGAACTCACAGACAGGTTTTGCAGTGTATTTATTTCTGAATAATTGCAGCACTCACAAAAAAAAAAAAAAAGAAAAAAAAGAAAAAAAAGAAAAAAAAAGACACTTATTTATGAGAATACAGGAGAAATCTCCATATCTTGAGAAAAATAAATCTCTATGTAAAACACATCAAGAAACCTTTCTTTCTACTCAGGAAGGAAAACAGATAATTTTAATTCTAGTGTTTCTATTTGTAACCTAATATATTTCTTCAGCTAAAGAGGACAAGCAGTGACTTTAAATAGGTCTCCTTGTTTCCTCTTGTCCATATCATTCCCTAAAGTGTTCTCCACCCTATCCTTGTTTGAAAGATATCCTTATTCCTTCTTATTTATGAAGGTCAGGTCATCCAATTCAGTTACAAAGTCACAAGACAAGCTAAGGGCTTTAGACCAATAGCAAATGTTACATATTGTATGCCATTAGTACAACTTGGGAACAGTCTAGAAACAGCATAAACACTTATTAAAATGTTCAAGGGAAATAGATGCATGAAGAATGCTCATTTCTTTATTTTGCTCTTTTTTGTTCATATATATGCATTGTTTCACACATTCAAGGAAGTTACAATCATTCAATTAGTGCTGACTTTGGTTAGCAGAATGATTGTGTATACATCAAGTTGAATTTTCCTTCCAGAAAGAAGACAGAAATAACAGCCAAAGACCTTCCTAAAGGAAAACTGTAACTCTTACAGTATTTATTCTTCACAATACAATTCAAGAATTGAAACTACAAGCATGAAAGCTTACATTTTGCAAGCAGTGACTCTAACTGCAGCTCATTTTATGTCTGTCTTTTAATGAGTACAGAAGGGGTTGGACTATGTGCATCTGAATACAGAATCTAAGGTAATTCCTTACAAGCACAAAACTTGTCCTACAAATAAATTTCAGCATGCCCTACACGTAAGCGCTGATCACAAACAGTGAAATTAAATTTGTTGGCAGAATCAGGCCAGAAACAGAAGGCATGAGATGAAGTCAGTTGGTCATGTATATGTTGAAACTATGTAATTAACAATCTGTTTCACCCAAGCTGTTTCTTTTCAGATATATAATGAATACTTCATTAAATCCATAATCTACAATCTGTAATCTACGATTTTTTTCAAAAATGATCATTCTTATTTAAACTTATAAAATGGCACTAATGGACATTTTGTCCTTAGAGTAACAAATAGGAAGACATTCTTGTCATGAGCTTTTGATATCATCGTTTTTTATGCAATTTAGTCTCCATGACACATTAGCAGTGTGTGCTGGAGAGCAATGTAATCAGAAATTAGAAACAAAAAGGGTGAAATCAGACTGACCTTTGGCAAGTCACAACTCCTCTATTAGATGCAGTCTGTAATGTATAAATACTATCTTATCTCTTGTTATTCCAAATAAAAAGAAAGCCACATGTTCATGATAGAGTATGACTTTTCAAATGCCACCAAGTTGATTTTTCCTAAAACCATACTGCAGAGCCACTTATGCAAAAAGATGTGTGCATGTGCAAGATGTCTGGGGTAGAACTTGAATATTACTCTAAAGAGTTTGCGTTCCAGTGTTTGTACTTGTGGCACAGCTTGGTAACTCCTGTTTTGGAGATTTCCTTTCTTCTTATGTTACTGATATAGTTGCAAAACAAGAATCAAATCTAAGGAGAATCCTAAGCCATGTACTTATGAATTTGGTGATTGCATGTGTGTTTTGAGAGAGTCGAGAAAAAGTGTCAGTTTAGCAGTCCATCACCTGTGGTCCTCTTTCCACTTGATTCATTGTGCTTATCCCTTAAGATAAAGGATAATTCTTACAGATTTTTGCTGAGGACATAAACCAAACATTGAGAATATGCAGTGGTTATGGCAGAGAAGAATTTGATTAAGTTTCATTTAATAGACTTTCAGACATTATGTAACTTCTTACCCACACTGTCACACTAACATCCAGAGCTATTACACCTACACTAAATGGATGTGAATAGCTAGACCTTTAAAAGTTCAAGCAATGAGTAAATTGTGTCAAGCATTTATGACTTGCTAAAGTGTATGTTGGTGGTTATAAACAGAGCGTACTCGTCAGTGCTTTCTGCTAGGCATTTCAATGACTCTTGAGAACATGAAAAGTGTTGGTGACTTAACTGAGCCGTGGGAATTCAGAATTATTGATTGGATTTTGGAGAGATAAAATAGGATTGTACATATGGAATGCATAACAAATAAAAGGCTTTATTCATTGTTTCTTGAAACATAATTAATTTTTTTAGTAGATGAAAATTATTGCCAGTACATAGTATAGAGTGGATATGTATAAATGATAAATCATCTGTTGATTTTTGCCTTTGTTTTCATTTGCAAAATAGTCATGACCAAATAATGATTTTCTGAAACATAATTATTTCTAGAAGGTTTTTAACAGAGATGTCCTCCAGGTTTCTTGGTCTCATAACTTGTGAATAAGTAATTTGTTTCCAACAAGAAACAAGTGATTAACTATTGTGCTGGCCTTCCTATGAAAGCATGTGGCTGTTCCAGTGCTCTAGCCCTCACTCACTCTGAGTGAGGGGACTTCTCTGGGGAATATTATTCCCAGATAGTTTTGTTCAGCATTATTTTATATCTGTCTGTCCAGTATGGTTTAACTACAACCCATTCTCATGAAAGGAAGCTCTGTAAGCCAACTTCTGCTCCTGCACCTCTGCCAGCCTTGACAGCACCTGACAGGACTGATTTTCAATACTGATTTTTTTTTTCCCTTTCTCTAATGAAAGTTTGTGTGAAACCCTGTTGCATTGAAGGAAGTGGGAATTTTGCCAGGACTTCATCCTATCTGCTTTCTGAGACTCCCCATGAAAATGTGCTATGTCACATGACATTCTTAGCAGAGTGTTGGGTCGGGTATATCCTGCAGAAAGACATCTCTTGTAAACAAGATTTAGCAATCTTGGAGGGAATTTCCTGCTGTTGGTCAGATTGTTTTGAACACCATTGACCTTGCTGCAGACTGCTATTCTAAGAGCAACTATTCATCTGTGTCCTAGGATCAGTTGCTTTGATGACAGTAACTGCTGGGGGGTGGATAAGGAAATCTAGAGACACTCGTTCCAGTTGTGAGGCCTGCTGATAACCAGCCCAGACTGTGCTCTGGCTAGTCTATACCAATTTAAACACCATTTGGAAGGAAATAGCTTCGCTGAGGAAGGAAGAAAATGAATGCGGAAAACAAACCAAAAGAATTCCAAGTTTAGAATTAACCTAGACCACATCATGATACCATCACACTACCAATGTCGCACAACAAAACACATCAAGCACCTCTCAGCTTACTCTAAAAATATATTTCTAAAATGCACGGGCATTTGCAACATTCTCAGACTCCCTTCATTAAGCAGTCCTTATTAAGCAGATGAATCTGCACCATTTGTTTCTACTTTGCAAAGAATGTCACATTCCTCAACAAGAAAAAAAAAATTCCATACCTCTGGGATTGTAAATGACTGTTTCATGGACAGTTTTTTCCAAACACAAGGAAGAGATCTAGGCACAAACACCAAAGCATGGGGAGCAAAACTGATTTAATTAGTTAGCTTCTTATTTTCTAAGAAAAAAACACTTCTGCATTTTAAATCTTTCCTGTATAAAAACATGATATTTTTATAAAAATTGTGCTTTAGTAGATTTAAACAATTTCTGAAAGTAACATTTTCCTGGGTCTTTGTGAATGGCCAGTCTTCACCCTTCCCAATACGTTTGTAATGTAACGTAGTTTTCATGTATCAAAGAATTCATAGTCTTCAGAGCCTGCAGCCATGCCTAATCAGATAATGGAAATTCAAGATAAAGCAGTGAAAATAAAAGAAAATTTCTTCTTGATCATACTGCATGAAGAGCATCTTCTTAGAAGGTTTGATTTCTTCAGACAATCTCAACATTTTATGGGAGTTCTTTCCATTTTCTGTCCATTGTACTATATAATAAAGAACAGGCTATGACTACAGAAAGAACAAACGTAGTCTGAAATATTCTGAAATGGTCAAAAAAATTTTAAAAATTACAGATTTTGCATGAGTATCAACCTTTTAACTACAGTAAATATTCAATATCTTTATTTGTTACAGAAACTACAAGTGCCTGACATAATTTTCAATATTTTGGATTCTTATGAAAAGAACAACTCAAAAAAAGGTCTTTTCAAAGTGATTTATCAAACGCTTTGGAAAGGTTTTTAAAGGACAGAATGAATGCTCAAGGTGAACTGACATGAAAACAGCCTATGCCATTGTGCCCTTAGTATTTCAGCTAAGAGTCAAACATACTCCAGTTTTGGTTAGAAAAGTGAGAACCAGGTTTAAATCTATATCATAGATGTCCCAGATAGTAAACAGTCAGGAAAAAGCTAGTCTGAAGAACTCCTTTTCGATGTGGTAGAGATCTTTACCTTGGGACAGCAGAATATCCAGTGATGAACATGAGTAAGCTTTCCACAGCAGCACACCATCTGCTAAAGGAGAGTGCATAATTACTGTCTAAACAAGTTACTGGAATGTAGGCTTGATACAGAAATCACTGGATAAGGTTTTGGTCTGTATTTCATAAAAGGTCTGACTACAGAGGCTAATTAGTCCCTTTATAATTCCTGATTCTTGATTTCTTTTTTTTTTTTTTTTTTTTTTTTTTCAAAGAAAGCTGCATTCTCCTTCTGTAGATAGAACAGGTGCCTCGTGGTGGTTTTCTAGAGACTATTGCTTGGAAAATCTGAATGTTTTCCAGAGTTTTTAATATATTTCTCTGAAAACAAGCTGATCCTAATCATAACATATACTGATCATGTGTTTAGCTGTCATACCATTGTTTTCTGTAGTGTAGGCTGAGGTTTGCTTAATGTGAAATAAATGCCAGCACACTCCTCTGCTGTAACTATATGAATCATAAAATGGAATCACAGAATCATAGAAACAACAAGGTTGGAAAAGACCTTCAAGATCATCTAGTCCAACCGTCCACATAGCACCACTATCTTCCACTAAACCATGTCCTTCAGTACAACATCTGAATGTTCCTTGAACACCCCCAGAGCTGATGACTCCATTACCTCTCTGGACAGCCCATTCCAGTACCTGACCACTCTCTGGGAGAAGTATTTCCTAATATCTAAACTTAATCTCCCCTGGTGCAACTTGAAGCCATTTCCTCTAGTCCTATTGCTAGTTACATGGGAGAAAAGGTCAACCCCACTCACCACAACCTCTCTTTAGGTAGTTGTAAAGAACAATAATGTCACCACTGATCTTCCTCTTCTCCAGACTAAACAATCCCAGCTCTTTTAGCCACTCCTCGTGAGGAGGAGATCCTCTTTCCACCACACTCTTGTTTTGACCAGATCTCACCCTACCTACACCATCATAGGACATACAAAATATAATTTTATTTTTCACAATGCTTTATGAGAAGAATTAATGGCCTTACCTGTGCTTTAGGGGAATTTCTTTATGTCAGGTTGCTGAACATTTAAGCTGTTTTGAAACATCTTCTGTTTGTATTCTTCATGCGTGGGACTGAAAAAACAGAAGACACTCACTGCAGTTTATTCTGTGACATTTCTGCCCTGATACAGAGCTCCCTATTAGGCTTACAGTGTAATCAGCTATCACCTTCCCTCATGTTTCTGCATTTCATCACTCAACTTCCTTTTGGTCTTGCTGACACTCTCCGGCACACCTTCCTTGCAGTCACTTGAATGTCAGTTAGCAGCTGCATTCTCTCACACACCCAGCCTCACTGATCAGCTTGAGAAGTACTAGTAGACACCACTGTCTGTCCTTTTTTCTATTATTACTTCAAGCCTTTCTGCATATTTGGAAGACATTTAATAACATAATCAATTGGAAGTTGATCAGAAAACTCATACCTACCTACAGTGTTCATACTGAATTGCTCATAAATTAAATAGCCTATTTAAAGAATGCAGGATGCCTTTCCTGTATCATTGCTATGGGGAGAAAAAAGTGAAGAATATTGAAACTTCAAAAAATCTGTACAATGGTACTGAGAGATGTTTCTGATTTTGGAGGTGCCTAGAAATGGCCAGTGCACAGCTGCAAATCTGAACATTTACTATATTTGATAATTTTTGTACAAATAGAAGAAATAAGAGGTTGTAAGTTTCAGCGTAATATTACATCTCACACATCTTTAGGCTGTTCAATCAGTTAACTTACAAAGCTGGTACTCTCAGTGCCCCTTACCCAGTGGAGAGGCGGAGACACTCCTCCAAAGGCTCATCTGTTTTCCCTTTATGAGGTTTGCCCCCTAGAATGTGGAGATGTCTCTCTTCATTTGCATCCAACATCTCTGAGTTACCAAATGCCTGTTCTCAAACCCACCCACTCTTCCTGTTGCAACTATGGCTGTCTTATTTATCTGTTTTCCTCAGTGATGTGCAATTTCTGGTCTCAAGAACTCTTTTCTTAATATATATTTTTATCTTTACTATCATGCTACTACTAATTCTCTGTTGAGTTGTACCTCATAATTCCAGGAAGAATTAGAACACTTCACACCAAACGTTACTAAAAATTCTATCAGATTGTCAAATGTGTGCTCAAAAATAATCCAGCAAATGCAGCTGTGCATTTTCCCCCATTTATTACTCCTGCTACTCTTGTTTTGTTTCACGTAACCAGATTTTGACTTTTCCTTTAAAATATTTCCTTTAGTAAGTACCAACTACTTCAGCCCACTGGTCAGAATACTCAGTCTTGCCTAATGTTTCCTCAGACTTCCCTTCCTAACAGCCTGCCTGGGTATTTGTATACTCCTCTCTTCAGCACAGATTAGAAATTGTTATTTCTGCTGAATGAACTTTGATGATAAGGCCAGATCTGGCAGCTGAAAATGGCACACCAGTTCACCTATGTTGTTGTGTAGGTAAGTCACTATCCTCCTGACCTGCAGCCAAGGCATTTCCTGGTCCCTTCTGCGGGTGAGAGAAGATACTAGTAGAAGCAGCTGGTATGAAATCAGGCTGCTTAATCTTGAAAGATGTTGACTGAAACAAAGAGGCTTATATTTATGTATTTTAAGACAGAGGCTTTCACATTATCAACAGATACTTATTTTGTTAGACCTACAATAAATACTGTAATGATGGTGGGCATTCCTGTAAGATACAGTATTCTATGCTTTATTTGAGTATGGCTCTTTTGAGAAACCTATTAGATTACAAAATTACAGGTTTTTGAGGGAATGGCACAATTTAATGACTACTTTTGTATGAGGACATAAAATGAACTAGAAAAGAATAGATATGCAGATTAATTAAAAATATTAATCAAGCATGTTTAAGCAAAAGGGGAGCACAACGACAATCTCTTGAATTACATCCTACTATTTTCTAATGCCACTGTCATACGGAGATAGCTTTTGTAACAAAAGGAGTGGAGATGTTAGATAAGGAGAGGAGAGAAAGAAGAATCTTACATCTCTATGTCCATCAAGAAACTTTTCATGACAGAAAGAGGAAAAATGTGTTTCTAAAACAGCATAAAATCTAAGTGTGGAGGGGTTAAGTAGATCGCTTTACCAGTGAACAGATATGCAGAAGTTGTTAAAGATCTTAGCTGATAAACATAATCCAGGGCAGTTTTACTGTTGCAAATTCACATGCTTTCTTGGCTAATATTAGCTGGAGGAGCAGGAAAGTGAAGAAATGGCCTATAACTCACCCCAAAGTCGACGTGTTGTGCTTCTTTAGAATCATTGACTTGGAAGATTAGTAAGAGTGGTAAATCAAGTCTGCATCCTTCCCATCCCTGCCTTTGTGCTGCTGCAGTGTTTGTGCTGCCAAGTGCTGAGCTGGAGCAGGAAAATGAGTTCACTGAAAAATGGTGCAGGTTTTTGGAGACAGAGTTGATTTGGTTTTTTGTTTATTTGTTTGTTAGCAGATTAGTTTTCAGCCCTGGTGATTCCTGATCCAAGTCATTGTGTGGCCTTGTGAACTTCTGTGGAAGAACAAAGGCAGGAATGGGAGTACATAGGTGGGGATGGAAAGCAGAGGAAGGAGGCAACATTTTGGTCCCAGATCTCATTTATATCAGCTTTAAATGGCCAAGAAACTACATCCGTCTCTACACAGGTAGGAAAAAAATGCTCAGGACATGAACACCACTGAGATGTTAAAGCATCTGGTCAGAAGTACAAAGGAAATATCTCCTCCCTTCCCTGGCTTACTGCTGCCAGTGGGTCAGGATCAGTATTTGTTATAACGAGGGAGCTCCATGTCATTTTCTGTTCTCCATGCCATTTTCTTCATTCTAATTGTTGTCTGTGTAAATACATTGCTTAGCACCTCTGTTATGCAAAGTAAAGTTTACACTGCAAGCTGATCCACAATTACTCTGCCTCACAGTTAAAATATTTGAAGTATATGTTGGTAGTTCTATTGCAAAGCTCTTCACAATGGATTTTGTAGTGTAATATAAGACCTTCTGTCAGGCAGCTATAAGCCCGGTCAGATGAACCGAGGATTTTTTTTATATGGTCTATGCTTAAAAATGTTCTTTCTTAAATAAGCAAAACAAATAACTCCTTTCCCTTTGAGACTCCTCATAAGCCATTTTAAAGATAATTTGCCAGGCAAAAAGGATGATGTAATTAGATACAAAACAAAGTACTAATAATTACAATCCCCACCTCCCAAAAGTAGCCATTAATCAGTTGTCTAGCACGCAAGCATTCTGTGCTTATATTAGAGAAACTATTGCCAAAGATGTTCTTCCAAGGCACACCAAGCAGCAGAGGGAACTTTTGATTCAGTAAACACACACAAACAAATGTACTTGATATGCCAAGACAGGAGGCAGAAGTATTTGGGACATGGTGGCAGTGCCATGAAACAATAGCATAGATTGTATTGCTGGCACTGCTGGCATACCACTGGCCAGCACTTCAAAAGTGTCCAAATGACCAAAGAAATGGATGCAAACAGACAACGGTTTGAAATGTCCATAGAGGACTTTGAAGTTATTATTAACAATGCATCCCATAGCCTGAGGCATACAAAAAGTATGTCTGCACACTAAACTGCTGAACGGAACAGGATTTGTTTATCAGCCTCTCCATCAGGCCACAGAGACTGCCTCTGAAATGATTTATTCTTCTCTGCTCCTGCAGCTCAGCGTGCCACAGGCATGTTCTGAGGGACAGACTCAGCTAGCAGAGGGTCAGTTCACCAACGCAATAGCAAGTCCTGTCTGAGCTGTCTTCCACACTAGTGAGAAAAGAACCCAGAAACAAACTCCTGAGTTGGTGTTCCCCTCCTTGCAGCACTGGTTTGAGGTTTGGTGTCCAAATACTGCTTCCCTCTAAGCACTGCCTTTCTGGCTGTAGTAGAGAAGCCAGAAGAGATCATCTGCACCGATCATCTGAGCAGCGCAGGGTTTCCACTAATTATTGTAACACCAGTGCAAACCATTTCCCTTCTGCAGGCTTCTGGTTTCCTGACTGACTTTCACAGTTTTACTGCTGGCATGCAAGCCCAAATCATGCCTCCATCATTTGTCCGTATGGTCTGTCTGTCTCTTCCTGGTGGTGGGACAAAAGGCTTTCTGGGGCATGAATGGCTGCTTTGTTTCCCTGCTCTGAAGAGGTCTGACCAGAATTCTGTCCAGGTTTGTAGCCCTCAAAACCATAGTTGACTGTTTTTGAAGTTTTGTCCCACATCTTCGGTTCTCTGTGAAAAAATGACTTCAGCTTTGTGGCTAGGAAGAGTCAAGCATGAAATAAGAAAATGACCATAAAGATGATGATTGAGGATCTCATTCAAAGGGAACATATCCCACTTTAAAGCTCAGTGAATAAAGCAATGAATATAAAAAACAGGATTTATTCCAGAAACTGCAGTATGAAATACTAGTTAATGGCAATCTCTGCTTTCATATGCATCTTGAATATGTATTGGCCTGTTGCACTATGGAAAGACATTCTATTAATTATCTTGGATATTTTTGGCTAAAAGATACGACCAAGCCACAGAGTTGCACTGCAGACTTCTGGAAAATGAGAGTTAGCTTCATTTAGTTTGCAGAGTTTGTCTTTTTATTCTTAAAGGCTTATTTAGTTAGATAAAAACTAAACCATGATTTTTGTTAGCAAAGTCTAACTCCACTTATTTCTCATCTATTTGTACACGTTTCCAAGAGAAGTGAATAGGAAATGTTTCAGCTTTTATTTTTGATTCCAATAAGAAATGTTTATTGATTACATAAACAATTTGCCTGTTTTCATCTGTGCTGCTACACTGAGTTCTGAAATACGTGAAAAGATTAGCCAAAATAAAATGTCAGCATTTGGTTTCATTCACTGGATACTAGAAAACATTTAGGATTTAAATTGATTTCACATGGGAATGTCAGCTGTGTGCTCTGGCTAGGAATGAAGCTCTGACTCAGAGGGGTAAAAAAGATATGATAATCAAAATTTCTCAAATTCGTTTCTTGTAAGTATGGGAGTGACACTGTGGTGGAAATTGTCCTGTATCAATGCAGTATTTTGTTTTACCCCCAGATAACTGCTAAAAAGTAGCACATGCTATTGTGAAATCTTTCTCCCCACACTGTTCTTCTCATGCCTGACCTAAAATCATCCCACAACGATTTTTTCAGAGTTTCCCACAACCTTGAAGACTTTGAAGACTATAATTTTTAACCATCAAAGCAAATCAGCAAGGGAATGGCTTTTGAATGAAGCAAAGTAAGAGTCTGGGGAGAAATATATACTTTACACTAAAACAGAATATCTTTATTCACTTTGAATTAGGAAATATTTTTTCTTCTGGTGTAGACTTTTTTAACAATGCTAGTAAGCCTTCTTTTTAGTCATCAGTCCTAAGGAGAAAGCAGAACAGGAGACAGCAGTGATGTTACTCCAGAGTAGCCAAGCAGTTATGGTATTAATCCAAGATAATTCAGACAAGCGTACTGTTTCTTGCACTGTACCGCATATATAAAGCAGCTCAGGACACATTGCTCACAACTCTCTGTCACCTCTGTTCCAGTTGCACTTCACTGGACTCACAACCTATTGGATAGCACACAGATGGGTGATGGCACTTCACAGCTCACAGGCTTTTACATGTTTAATGCAAGCTTAGTCTTCGTATGGGAAATCTCTAGTGGGAAAACTCTAGCTCAATCAGTGTTAATCCTGAAAGGCATGGGTTCAAACCCCTGCAGGTGGCAGAGAGGAAGGTATGAATAAGCAAGCTGATACACGGTCAGGCCACATCCATTGTAAGTGCAGATGGTTGCAGATGAGTATAGCTGAGTTGCAGTTTCTTAATGCACCTCAGCAAAATATGGATTAAATATCTCTCCTGAAATGTGGAGGACTAAAACTCAGCTCCTTTTTTTTTTTTTTTTTTTTTTTTTTAAACTCTGTAACTTCAGGGGGTCTGTGACTTTTGTTTGCAGGGAGTCTGCATAGCAGCTGTAACTTCTGTGCTGTAACTTCACTATTTTATGTTAAGGCTGGTTATTTTTCTTTCAAAATGGATATTGAGCAAGTAGCAATCTCTAGGTTTGTTCTGTGTCTCATGAACAGACAAACCTAAAATAAAGCTCCACCTAGAGCTTGGTCATTTACTTACTGGCTTATTCCCCAGTTTCCAATCTGTTGCTCCCACACTTAGCTCCTTATAAAGCCTCTGTTCCTTTGAGTGGCATTACTTTCATTGTTGGCTTAAGTGTGGCTCTAACTTCACTAAATGACTAACTGGCACAGGGATTCTTCACATGAATGTGCTGTGTGGATCCTCTCAAAGGGTATCCAAGTCAGGGCAAACCCTCAAGGGCCAAGTCACAAAAAGATGTTGTTGTCCTTCCTTCCCCACCCTTTTCCTTTTTTTTTTGCCAGTTCTAAGCATCCATAAAATATCTGCTACACACTTCTGTGATGCAGAGGGAATAATTATCAGCCCTGGGCCAAGTCACGTACAGAAGCAATAGAGGAGTATTTTCACTGAGCAGGAATGTTATTTATCTCTATGCTACTTACGTTTAACTGTGTTTAAAAAGAAAAAAAAAAAAACCTCTTCACCAAAACAAACCTCCAAACACAGATGTTCACTAAATATCCAAACATGAACAAAAGATATTCAGAGAAATTTGAGGGAAAATACTAAGAATCTAAATCCCCAAATCCTTATGAAGATTTTATTCAGTCACAACTCTCTCTTAATTAACTGAGGTTAAGTAATGAGTAAAGCTTTCAGAATTTAACTATTTACATAACTGCATTTTTCTAAAAATCAAACTTTATAAATTCTTGTACTTCTCTATAGAATTATACCAGAAAAGACACAAAATATAAACCATCTCCTAAAAGCAGTGATATTAAAGCCAAGATCTTTTCACAAACTTGAAGTTCGCAGCCACAAGGCATAAATGTGCCAGATTGCAGTACGTGAGTCACTTGCTTTGTCAGATCATCCAGTCTATTAGTGGACTTGTATCTTTTATCCTGAGGAGGGAGGAGATCAAGTATTTTGACTGCTTTCAGCTTTTTGTGTTTTGTGGGCAAATGTGTTATAATGAAAACCTGAAATACAGAATGAATTAGATTTCAATCATGGCTGCGAATTAATATCTGTGCTGTCAGATTCCATTCTAAGAGTTTGGCACGCACATTGCAACATCTACCTACTGCCAGAACAGGCACTAATTGGCTGAAAAGGCATGAATCAGTAAACTGAATTACTGCCAAACTCATCAAAAAGATGGTATTTGCAGGGCATTTTGAACAAACATGCATAGCTATTGTCTCTGCTTTTCCTCTCCTGTCA